TCAGCAAGCAGAAATAGCAACAACAACAGTGAAATCACAGCTTTCCGGTAGTCCCAACTACCGAAACTTCCAGAACTATACTGACCTGATTCTTTTATAGCCAAGGATATGTAGGCAACCTTTGAAGCAAGGTTCGGTCAGGCTCTTTTCAGAAATGCTTCTCATGGAGTTTCAAATGGGCAAAAATCCCTCATAATTGCTATTTTATCTTTGCCCAAAAACCCTTCGTGTTTCCGAGTAAAGAGGGGCAGCTGTGAGCACGTGACTTTTGCCTCACATGAATTACTCCTACAGAATTCCAAAGAATTAGATTTTTCTTTTAATTATTTGTTATTTTAGGAATTATTGTAGAACTTTTCTGTTTGTTTGCATTTTTGTGTGCATGTTTAATTTTATTTAATTCATGAAAAATACAAAAATACATTGCATTTGCATTTAGGATTTAATTTTATATTTTTTTAGATTAATTAGCAATTTAGTTGTTTTATAAAATATGAAAAATCGCAAAAAATAGTTCATGTTGCATTTTAACTCTTTAATTTTGAATTTTGTAACTTTTCTTTTAAATTAGGAGTTATTTAATTTTTTTATATTATGTTTAGTTTTTCATATAATTTGGTAAGTTAATTTAATTTTTAAGAGTTAATTTAGATTTATTTTAATTTGAAAAGAAAGAAAATGGAAAATGAAAAGAAAAGGAAAAAAAATAAAGAGATCTGATTTTGTTTGGGCTCTTTTAATTAAGTTTCCCCCAAGCCCAATTAATTCCACCCATTACCCGTCCCAAACCAGGCCCAGACCGCCCCATACCCCGTCCGTCTGTTGATCGACCAAACGACTCCTGAGTTCAAACCTTGAGATCCAATCTGAACCCTCCGTTCCATATGATCCAATGGCCCCAATTGTTTTCCCATGCCCTTTAAGAGTGTCTGAAACCCCCCATTAACCTAAGTACATCGTACTACCCCTGTATCTCATCTCTCATCTCTCATCGTACTCCATACGGGAACACATGATTAATGCCAATATCGGCTAAAATCGAAGGCGTTGAAGATCTTTTCAAATTTTTACTGTCCGACCGTCTCTTAGGTACTTTTTTTTCTGTTTGTTTGTCTTTTCTTCAATTTTTATTTTTATTACTGATCTCATATTCTTTTGCTTCCTTCTTGTATTTCTTATTTTTCTATTTCTTCAAATCATTTTTGTATGCATGTTAGTCTTAGATTTATTTTAGTTAGCATGTTTTCTGTTTTTGAGTTTTTTAAGTTGTTGGATTTTCTGTTTCTACTCTTTCTTTGGAGCTCAGGGCTTCATGAGTCCTTATGACTCCGTAGGCTTACGATTGTGTGTTTTTTTTTTACCCTTGATTGAACTTGGGTTCTGAAAATCAGAAGCCCAAAAAAAGGATTCAATCCGGGTGGCAAGCCCGTGGTTTGGGGCTGAACCTTTGGGTCAACTTGACCCATACCTGGTACGTTGGGGTAATTGACAGGGGTTTAAGGGGTAGTTTAGGGAGTTTAGGTAAGGGAATCATTTGTAACTGATTTAGGAAGCTGCCTTGAAGGTGGGTTTGGGACCTGTTTAAGTTATGAAATGGTTGTGAATTTCTGTTATGCCGAAGGGCTGTGTACGAGCTATGTTTTGCCCGAGGGCTGATTATAATTTTTATCACTTTCACTATATATATATTTCATTAAACCTCTATGGGGAAGGTTAAAAAGATATTTTTCAAAGGATATGTCTGAGGATGAAAGTTTAACGAAGTGATTTGATTTGTATCCTGTCTTTGGAAACATGCGGTATCCTATGTGGTGCCATGATATGGTATATGTGATTTCTTACTGCTCAGACTTTATTTACGTTTATTACTTACTGGGTTGGAGTACCCACATTACTCCCTGCACCTTATGTGTAGATTCAGGTATTTCTGAGCTTGGTGGCAGTTTCATCGGAGTTAGCAAGGTAGCTGTCTGGCGATCACGACTCTGTTTTCTCCCTATTTATTCTTCCTTATGTATAAATTGTGACTTTTTCCCGAACATATTGGTCTTGATGTAGTTATAAAGTTGTAGTAGATGCTCATGACTAGTGACACCCCGATGTCGGGCTTATACGTTATTTTCGCACTGTTCATTAAGACTTATATTATGAAACATTTGTGTAATTAAAGGCTTAAAAATGACTCTTAATGATTAAAGGGTTAAAAAGGGTGTTGTATCGGCTGACCTTGTCTTCACGAAAGGCGTCATCACGACCTAGTCTGAGTTTTGGATCGTGACAGGTACCACCTCTTTAAGTACCCCCTTAGGACCGGTCGGGGTACTGGTAGGATACCTATAAAAGTACCTTTACCATGTACTCTTAAATCCCCTTAAAGAAAGTCCCCTTAAGGACCCCACCTCCTTACCAGTACCTTCCATGTACCTAATCCCCTTAAGAACCCAATATCCTCCTCTTAGACAGCCCTAAGACAATATTGAATTGAACTAGTGATCCATAAAGACAGAAAGAAGTGATAACCCTCTCCGTCACTACGGTCTCTATGTATGTATGTATGTATGTACGTACGTACGTACGTATGTATGTATATATGCATGCATGTATGTATGTATGTATGTATGTATGTATGTATGTACGTACATATGTATGTATGCATGTATGTATGGAGACTAAATTGAACTCCCATTTAAGTACTGACACACCTCAACATCAACACCACCATTCAATGCCAAGCTAATTCCGAGGTAAAAGCGTATAAAATGTTTATATTAAACTTTATTAATTTATCTGTATACATACATATCATACATCTATTAATTAGTGTAAATAACAACAACAACAATAATTCAGTGGATTCTCACAAGTGGAGTCTGGGAAGGGTAGGAGGTACGCAGTCTTACCCCTACCGTGGGAGGGCAGAAAGATTGTTTTCGATAAACCCTCACCTAAAAAAAATAAAAGAAGCACTGACATCAAATAATAATAATACAAGATATTAAGAATCGAAGCCAAGATAGCAAAGAACTATATGTAGTAGTAGCAATCTAAGAAAATATAGTGTAAATATCATATGCAATTTAGTACTTCTACCAATAGCAACAGTAAAATAGGAGGAATTAATTTTTTTAAAATAAGAAATTTGAAATAATAAATATCTCAATTATTCGCTTCTTCACTAGCTGAAACTAAAACAATTAGTTCGGCCTCCATGGTAGAGTTATTGATTTTTTTTTAACTAACAACAAATAACACCACTTCCCGAAAATAATAATATTGTGCATTAGAAAAAACCTTCGTATACAGTAGGATATTTTCTATAAAATAAGTCATAAGTTTTGGTACCAATTACCTCATAACTCTCGGTATGACATATCAAATGTTTATTACCTGGATTGCTTGTAAACCTGTTAAGTACTCCTATTGCATACATAATATCAGACCGAGTGCAATTAGTCACATATCTCAAGCTTCCAATTAAGATAGAGTATCTCATTTGATTTATCACTTCATTGTTATTTTGCACAGGAAATAAGTAAACACTTGAATCAAAAGGAGTTACAACATACTTGCAATCAATTAAAATTATTTTTTTAAAGTTTTCTTAACATAATGTGATTAATTAAGGGAATTTCATCATATGTTCTAGTAATTTTCATTCAAATAATTAAATTTGCCTCACCTAAATCTTTCATGTCAAAATGACTACTAAGCATGCTATTAGTTTCTCTAATAACATTCTAGTTAGCGCCAAAAATTAATAGTTCATCAACATAAATGCAAACAATAACATGTGAATTATTTCAAAACTTATGATAGATGCACTAATCACATTCCTTTGATTTAATCAACTTTCACACATGCATGAATATTCAAATATTCATGCAAGAGTTATTTACTTTTTACCCCTATTTCTAGAATTGTAATCTTTTTAAATAATAAATAATAAAAATCACTGGTCATGATAATATAAGGTAAAAAGTTTTTACCTTTCCTCCGCTTCAGCTAAGCAAGCAGAATTTTTTTTCCATCTCATAAAGAGAGTGAACTTCTACCTTGATATCTGCTATGTTTTTAATTGCATAAAAAAATAAAATTTCTCAAAATTATTGGTGAAATTACAAGTAATTACAGTTAAAAAATAAGATACAGAAAAATAAATAAATATTTTTCAGGCTGAGGCGCGGATATTTGGCTTTCTTTAAGGAGATTCAGGCTCACTGCGGTAGCATCTTCACCGGTCCATCAGTAATACTCTTGACTTGTCCCCCCCAGGATACAACTACCAGATAACGTGGTGTAACTCTAACAAACTCTGGACAAGTTGTTGAGTTCAAAGCTCCACCAAAATGAAAACCTTTGTTCAACAAAATAATATTCTCTTCTGTAGAGAATAAGTTGGAGACTTAGATTTTCTTCTTTTCTCAACTCTCCTTTTAACTATATTAACCACATTTTTTTTCCATGTACACTACAATATTTTTTTCCATCCACAACACAAGGAAGAAATACCACTATTTATAGGTGTAAAATTTCTTCCATAGAATAAATAACAAATTAGTGACATAATAAAATTATACAACATGATCGGTGGTTACAAAATTTAACCTCTAATTAATAGTAGATCATGTCATTAATGGTATTATGAGTTATACAAAAAATGATGACCATTTTCTTATCAATTTATAGCCACTACCTCACAAGAAATAATACATTTTAGTATTATAATTTTAATATTAAATGCGCATAACACCAACAATAAACACAGCAATGATACTATCAGTAGGTGTTCATACAATATTTGATCGAAATATTTGAAAGTACAAAATTGAATTTGTATTTGTCCATGAACTTTATTTTGAAGAGAATTAGTGAAAGTACAAATTTTGCGTGTGAAAATCATTAATTAACTTAAAATACTTATTATAGTATATTTTAATATTTTAAAATACTTAAATTTACTCATTATTTATTTCCTTTCATCCCAATTTGTTACTCTCCCGGGTAGAGTGTACTCCTTTTCCCCAACCCAATTGAATTAAGTTCTCTTCGCTCATCACGTCACTGCCTTTACAAGAAAGATGGGTACTGTCGACGCCAATGCACAGTCATCCTCCTCTCTCATCAAAGATTTCATCCACAAATGCGGCGGCGTTGCCGTGATCGACGGCGGCTTCGCGACGGAGCTGGAACGTCATGGCGCCGACCTCAATGATCCTCTTTGGAGCGCCAAATGTCTCCTCACTGATCCTCACCTCGTCCGCGCCGTATGCCTCTCTCAATTTTCTTCAACCATCTCTTTTAACACTATATTAAACTTAGCTTAATAGATGTTCTTAAATAGTATGATATTTAGCTCACTGACCTTTTCATGTTCTCTTAACAATAATATTTAGACTTTCACTTGTTATGCTTATTAAATAGAGTGGATATAGAGAAAAGGATTACAATTTCAGATCAGTTCTTTAGGATGTTTTAGCTTTACAGTAACTGGTATGGGGATAAGTTGGACCACCATTTGGATTAATTATTAGGATTCGATATTAATCTTGCTGAGTGGGTCATCTTGTGGGTTTCTAGATTTTAAAAATTACTACTTTATGGGTGAGACATGGGCTTTTCTGTAGGAGTATAAGGAGGGTGTTGTAGGCGGCGTTATTATTTTGCACGCTGCTAAACTTTCTGATAATGTATCTGGGATTGTCTTTTCTAGGACCTTTTCAAAAAAGTTGCTAGAACACATTGTTAATAAAATGACATAACAAGTAGCTTGCATTTGTGAATAACTAATCCTTTGAGATTCTCTCTTTTTTTCCTTTTTTTCTGCACCCCCNAACTCATGCTTTTCCCAGGAATCATCAATTTCAGAAAAATTAAGTAGAGAGTAATATCATAAAATGTGAGATTTTTGAGCCAAAACAATGTTTTAGTTATGAAACAAACAACTGTAGTATTTGATTCCTCTCAAAAACTTTTTTGATTAACACAATTTACCTTATCAAAAAAAGAGAGGAGATCTTGCTTTAGCATGAAGGCAAGATCCAATAAGTATGAACTGATAGTGACTTAAAAATAGATAAATGATTAAATAGAAAAGGAGGTTGTAATTACTCTGCTAAATCATTAATTTTATATGATACTTAAACAAAATTAACTGTATTTTCCTTTGATCTGTCTTTTCGGTCTAGCTATCACCTTCAAGCATTCAGTAGACCTGAAAAGCTTAACACCTTATCCTCTTCTTGTTTTTTTTCTTTTTATACTCTTTCTTTCTCGCTTGCCCCATTTGCTGCAAAAATGCTGTAAAAAATTACTTATGTCTTCTTTATACAAATTGAAACCTTGCAACTAATGCATGCTTGCTGGACAGCTGGAGAAGTTCTTGTTTTCTTTTATGGATTTCACGTCGCCAATTCTTTATGGCACAATATGTATAGAGGCACTAAATTTAGAGGAAATACTTTGGTCATTTTGAAGTGTTACCATGTCTACAATCTCCCATTTAATTTTGAATGTGATGACATCCTCATCTTTATGACTAGTAAAAAGCTCTTGGCAAAACGAGCCCAAATGAATCTGTGGATCTCAACATCTGGCAACTGCCAATCTTCTCTTTGATTCTTTCCCTTTTTGTATCCTATGTGGATTTGTTGTAGGGTTTAAACTTTAGACTATGAATCTCATCTGAAAAGCTTCGCTGGAAAAGCTTGAGAACCTAGTGTAATATCACCATTCCCAGATATTTGCTGTACATGAAGTTTTCTCTTTGTACTATTACATGGCTCATTGGTGTACTAAATAGAGCAGGTACACTTGGATTACCTTGAAGCTGGTGCAGATATTATACTCAGTTCATCTTATCAGGTACTGCTTTTGTCATTTGCAACCATTGTTCCTCTCTCTACCTCTTATGCAAAATTGATTGCGCATGGATGCATCTTAAATTCATCTATATCCTTGCGACTAGTTTCATGTTTTCTCATATTTGGACAGGCAACTATCCAGGGGTTTAAGGCCAAAGGATATTCTCTAGAAGAAAGTGAATCCTTGCTCAAAAGGAGTGTTGAGATTGCGTGTGAAGCACGAGATGTCTACTATACTAGATGCTGTAAATCTTTGTCTGATCATAGCACTGATGGAAAGGTTCTCAAACAGCGTCCTATCTTAGTTGCGGCATCTGTTGGGAGTTATGGGGCCTATTTAGCTGATGGTTCTGAATACAGGTAGTTTTCAGAAGAATTAGCACTTTATTCTTCTTTCTTTCTCTAGTCTGATGTGATTTCCGTGCTAGGACCTAAGGATTTTTTATGGGATGTAAGGATGGTTAGCTACTTGTTCCTTATAGGCATTTACTGAGAATCCGTTACCTTATTTGCCTGTGTCTTGTTAAGACTTGTCATGCTTGTTAACTTTTGATATTTCGTGCATTAAAGTGCATTCAGGGAATACATGGCCCAAATTGCAGAACTACTCTTCAGTTTGTTGTCGTCTCAAGGTTAAAGAATAAGATTTGTCTCACTAACACCCATGAAGTGCTTCTCACAATTCTCTCCTGGTGTCATTAACATTTTCCCTTCCTCTTAAGCACCAACTAGTAGTATCTTTTCATGCATGTGAACTGACTTACTTATCAATTTGCAGTGGGGAATATGGGGATGCAATTGATCTCAAGTTTCTAAAGGATTTTCATCGAAGAAGGGTTCAGCTTCTTGCAGAATCTGGTGCTGATCTAATAGCTTTTGAGACTGTGCCAAATAAACTAGAAGCACAGGTATGGTCGTTGTGGGTTATATATTTAGAGGAAATCTTTTAAAACTACTTATTGCTTTACTACTAGTAGAAGTTAGTGGTATCCCTTCTGTTATCATTCTCTATGAATTGCTATGGAAAATAATTATCTGCGACACAGCTATTTGTGACAAGAGATATTTTTTTCTACCACAGTATAATGTGGGGAAGCCTATTCTGGTCTAGTAGCTTGTATTCTTTTGTTAAGATGTTGAGATTGACAGCTATTAGCACCTATGCAGGCTTTTGTCGAGCTTCTTGAGGAAGAAGACATAAAGACTCCTGCCTGGTTATCCTTCAACTCTAAAGATGGTATAAATGTGGTTAGTGGTGATTCTTTATCAGAATGTGCTGCAATTGGTGAATCATGTGAAAAGGTTTTAGCTGTTGGAATCAACTGTACTCCTCCTAGATTTATTCTGGATCTTATTCGATCCATCAATCAGGTAATTTTTTAGTTACAATTCCTGTCTTCTTTCTGTTTTTCTTTATACCAGAGTTGTTTATCAATTTGGGATTTACATGGACACTTTTAATGTCTGCTTATGCTTACTAGAGAAGATGGATATCTGTAACAATAAATGAATTCATTATTTATCGTTCAAATCTGCTTTATAAAACTCAGACTGCAACAGCTGGTCTACTGAGAACCTCTTCCAGTCTGTTTTACAAGCTGAACCTGTCAGTCAAGTGAAATGATCAAAACAAGTTAAACCTGGTCTAACGAAACCTTATATTCGCCAAAAACTGCGTCTTTAGTTCCTTGTTCCATCTCCAAATTAAGAAAGGAGCTCATCGGGTTCATGGCAAACCCCACATTATTGCCTTGTCTCACCACCTATCCAGAGGTTCATTATTTCATTCTTACACTTAGTTTCAAGACCACCAAACTGTTCCGAGCAGACCCATAAGGAAGAGAGGAACTGCAGAGGAGAACTAGTTTTGCTTACACACAGAAACATACGTTTCTGCCATACTGCATGGGAACATATTCGGCAATTTTGGGCCTATAACACATGCTTATCTTGGACTATAATGCCTCCATTGTCAGGGGTCATGGAGCCGTGTGTCCAGTAGAAGGTCTATACTTAGATGCTTCTCATTTTTTATCTATGAATACATGCAGTTATGCTTGCTATGCTAGCAGTTCAAAGGTGAAAGCTAGCTACATTGAACAAGTATCCAAACTTTAATCTGGACTTTGGTGAATTAAGGATATGGAGGACAATTATTTCGAGAGAAAATGATTTTTCTTATTTTTTCTCTTGTTTGGATTTTACGCGGAAAATAACAAGTAAAGTTGCGATAACTATTCAAATTCTTCTTTTAAATGTTAGTGGGTCCTTGCTCTTTCCTTTTGTCAAACCAGACAAGCAAATGGAAAATTCTCGAGTAAAGCTTAGGTTGCTTATTGTTCTCTGGTAACTTTTTCTTATTTACTTAACACTAGCTATTTGTATAAATATATTCTTATAGTCTTCTTATTTTTTACTTGCATTTCTCAGGTAACAACAAAGCCAATCCTTATATACCCCAATAGTGGTGAGAGTTACGATGGTGATCGGAAGGAGTGGGTGGTGAGTACTTCTCAGACTTTCTGCTTTTTAACTGTACCTATTGACTCACACTGAATAAGCTTATTGATTCTCATTGATTTACAAAACAATTACGTGTTTATCCCTAGTCAGTGGTTTGTTGGAAAGAAACTATGTCATTTCCTTTCTTGCATAAAACATGGAGCGGAGACCCATAAGCCTTGATGAGTTTCTTTCTCTTTAATGTGAATGTTGAGTTATTAGAGGTCAATCTATACTATATTAAAAGCACGAAGATCCTTAGCGAAATATCGTCCGTCTTTTTTACCCTTTAAAAATAAAGTACACACTAGACAAAATAGTCATTTAACTATTTTCCTAATATCTATGACTTTAAAATTACCTAAATTTCAATATTATCTTTTTCCTTATTTAAATTATATAATATACCATATTTATAAAAGACATACCAGCATAATCAATGTAAGAAACTAGCGTGTACTAGAACTCCTTCAAGGTTTAGGAGTGTTGTCTTTGTTTTAGAATTATTGCCGGTTAATTCTTTAGAATTTTCCTATTTTAGTAAAAAATAAAAGAAAATTAATTGAAAGAGAATAAATATAAAATATTACTCTCTTAATGTGAATATTTTAAAGGTTATTCACTATCCTCTTTACAACAAATAACTTAAAGTAATGAAAGGGTACATGTGCATTAAAACTTACCAATAAATAATAGATTTTGTGCATTAAATTTACCAATAAATAATAGATTTAATTTTAAGTCCAAAATTGTTGAAGTTTCCTATACATCATAAATTAAACCTATAAACCTAATATGATGAGCAAAAACAATTATCTATAAATAAGTTTACAAAAGACAACAATGCAATTATTAAAATAATTACAATTATATTATAGTAATAATAAACTATAATGTATTTTAAATTTTTTGTTGAAGTTATACATGTTAAAGCACAAACTCGGTTAGATAATTGAAGCATAGATAAGAAACCAAAATTTATATACCTATAGTAATAGTAATAAATTGTACCTTTTCTTTATAAGAAATTTAAGGATGAAATAGTAAAATATAAAGTACATTATAAATAAGTTGTCATTTTAAATGTTTTCCTTTTCTGGCATTCAGTGCTACGAATGATAATCTCACTATATTTTTTTATATTAACCTATTTATAGTAGTTATTAACTCAATCGTAATTACTTTTTTGACTTTATAAAATCAAGTTTACAACTATTGAAATCTCATGTACATTGTAAACCAAACCTATAAACATATTAGGAATTATCTATAACTAAGTTTAAAAATGACAAGACAACAACATCAATCCAGTATAATTCTACTAGTGGGGTCTTGAAGGGTAGTGTGCATGCAGACCTTACCTTTACCCTGTGGTAGAGAGGTTGTTTCCAAAAAAAATGACAAGACTATATTTGAAAATAATATAATTATAGTAATAATAATTATAATTTAATATTTTTGTCGAACTTATATATGTTAAAGCTCAAACGCAATCAGATAAGTGAAATATAAATAAGATACTGAATTTTATATATCGAAATTATACTAATAAATGGTATATATTTTTGTAAGAAATTTAAGGATGAAATAGTAGGAAAATGTATTTTAAATAAGTTGTCATTTTTTTTCCTTGCATTTAGTCCAACAAATGACAATGCCTCGCTCTATTTTTTTTATTAAATTATTTATTGTAAGATATTAATTCAATGGCATTCATTTTTTAGACTTTACATTGTCAATATTAATTTTTGGAGCTATAAGACCAACCTTTTTATTCTCTTTTGTGTTTTGTTTTTAGTATTAAGTCATTAAAATAACAATAATTTTCATGAGACCTCACACATACCCATAAATCACAATAAAGCATCTAAAAACTTATGTCGCCCAAGATTTCTTCATTTATTGAGTTAACTAAATGGGAATAATATTTAACAGTTTCAAGAATATTTCTTTAACTATTATTATATAATTTCAAATTAGTCAAATATATAGTCGGATAATATTTACGTACTTTTTAAAAATTATGTACTCATTAGTATAGGTACACGCGCAACGCCCGTACCATAAGGTTAGTTACTATATTAAAAGCACGAAAACCTTTAGCGAAATATCGTTCGTCTTTTTTACCCTTCATAAACAGATTTTACACTGGACAAAATTGTCATTTAATTATTTTTCCTACAAATTAGGGGTTTAAAATCAACTAAAATTTTAGTCATTAAATATTTTTCTATTTAAATTGTGTAGCAATTCCTAATATTTAGGAGTTTAAAATCGATTATATTTTGCCTTATATAAATTCTTCCTTATTTGAAAACTTTTACTTATTAGAAAAGATGCAATTATAAATTACAAACTTTGAATAGTTGGAAGTCCGTAAATACAATTCCTTCAGTATATTAAGCTATTAGAATACTTTTAGTTGGGTCTGAGAAAAATTTGTTTATATATTTGGTTATTTTAATGCTCTTCTTTTAATTTTTTGTTACCTTTGTAATAAATATGTGAAATTTACACACACACACACACACACACATATATATATATATATTCACATATTTACATTATATTGAAGTCAGGGTAATCTGTAAAATACTTTAATACTAGGCTCAACAATTAGAATAACAAAGAAAATACTTGAGAATATAAATGAGAAAGAAAGTGAGCGAAAATTAGTCCATGAACGTTAAATAACACTGACGGTTCAACAACGTATAGATCCAAAAATAAAGTAGTCATTGATTCTTTACTGTTCTTGAATAAATTTTTATTTAAAAATTAAATTTTGTAATGTATTTGATATAGTGTAATTACAATTAATATTTCAAATTTGTGACGAGCTATATCTCTTACACTTTTATTTTATATCTTACACTTAGATTATATCCAAGTAAAAAATACCGCAGCTAAAAATTCATAATCTATTTATCTGCATTAACATGTCTTACACTTTTATTATAACTCAAGCACAAATTTTAATATAATACTAATGAAACCTTATTTTAAAATAGTTAATCATTGTGACAGGGCGTTGCTCAACGCACATACGCTAAAACTAGTATCCTTGAAAAACGCCACTTGCATCTTCACCATTAGACTCTACACTTATTAATTGATGATATTATGGCCTACAACCTCTGTTACTCTCAATATTCAAGCATTAATGTGCTTTAAAAAAAAATTCAAGCATCAATGTGAAAATTTTCCATTTTCTACTATATTTAGGTAGCTTAAAGGTGCTGTCTGAAATGCAAAGGAAGAAAGATGTTTCAAGACAGCAAAGAAATCTAAATCTGAATCTTCAGGAAGTAAAATGAAACTAAAACTGAAAGTTCTGCTCACGAAATAACTAGGGAAGAGCCACTTCAGCTTCATTTGTTTTCCTTGAAAAAAAACAGTTTAGGCCCTTGGGCTTAATACAACCACGAATTTCTAGAGGACTTTTTGTGCTGTATGCAGTTCATTCAATCCAGAAGAAATATTAATCATAAGCTAGCCATATTGGTTTTTGGGTGTTCTTACTAATATCTATGCTGTAATTACTTTGAATTTATCCTCCTGATATTCTTTCCTCCATGTTGCAGCGTAATACTGGGATAGCAGATGAAGATTTTGTTCCTTATGTTAATAAATGGTGTGAGGCCGGAGCATCCCTAGTAGGAGGTTGCTGCAGAACTACTCCGAATACCATTAGAGAAATACACCATGCACTCTCCAGCCGACGTACTGTCTAATCCGAGGAGAACAAAATAGGGGCATCTAACTTAAAAACAAGACAAGATCTTGTGTCTAGTTCGAAAGAATTGTTTCCATCTCTAGTAAAACTGGATGGCCTACGTTTCAGAAGAGGTTTCTGCCCTAACTGGAGTCAGGGCAATAAAACGTCCTCCGATCGACCTAAGCTGTTTGTCAGTGGTGTAACATATTTGTGGTACGCGCAGGGTGTTCAAAAGATCTATGAAATTTAAGGTTTTTGGGAACGTGCAAGGATTTGAGCACTTGTAGTCTGTAGTTGCTCAATGAATGTACTGTTCTATCAAGAACCATAACTATGTTAGTATTTACTTTTGTATTATTGTGTTTAGAACTTCATTTTTCCATATTGAAAGTTCCAAGATTTGAACCCTGATCTTACCAACTATGAAAACCAAAGTTACCTAATGATTGATGGCAACCATGGCAACTGAAAGCTACTGCTTGTGTGAAACGAAATGATGCTCCATTTTATGTGATACAATTAGACTAAGCATGAAGTTCAAAATCTTAACTTGATTATGTAGTGTTAAAATTTTGTAAATTAGTTAGAAAGATTGTTTGACAGAAAATACCGTATCAAATTTAAAGAATTTGATTTCATAAAATATGTTAAATTTAGAATGATAATGTTAACTGTCAGTAACAACGGATGTCCCAGAATTGCAAGTATCAGAAAAAACCGCCTTGGCCGGAAAAGTTTATCGAATATGTATTGAACCAAGGGAGTTGCTATTTGTGAAGAATACCTTAAGCTACACAAAGGGGAGAAGTTATCTCCGTGTGGCCTATATATCACCGGTTCGAGCCGTGGAACCAACCAAGCTGCCTACATCTCACCCCCTTGGGGTGCAGTCCTTCACTAGATCCTGCACAAAAGCAAGATGCTTCGGGCACCGGGATGCCAAAAATAAAACCGTAAGCTACGCAATGTACTCCCCTTTCGCTTCCCCAACTCCAACAGCCCACCAAACAAAAAGCAACACATGAACACTTTTTGCACAACCTAGGACTTGAGAACTAAACAAGAAAAAAAGCAAAGCCACTGAAAGTACTAATATTGAGCATCAGATGGATAATTGACCATCAACTTCGACTAGATATATCTGTTGATACTCATGCAACGACAATATCGAGCAAGACAAATGGAAGTATCACACATTCATTTTCATGTTGACAACAATACTTCTGGATATAGCACGTGCACGATAGTCATAGCCAACTTTTACAACGCTTTACATGATAAAAATGCTAAAAAGGGACAGCTGATGAATCAGGCATCAAAACCAGAGTAAACACCATTATCCCTAAGCAGCCTCTTTTCCTCTTCAACATAGCTCTTCCCTCTGCTAGCCTGACCAAGATCTCTCTTCCTCTTTTCTTTCTGTGAGAAAGAAAAGTTTTTCCTCTCTTTCTGAGTTCGTGCGTGAACCAGTTCCTCTGCTTCCTGAAGTGCAGCCCTCGTCTTCTGGCGCTCCTGATAAGTTTCTTCCTTCTCTTTGTCCCGAGTTTCCTTCCCTTTTGACCACGACCAATTCTGCTCCTGATCTGGCTCCTTGGGTGGTGGAACTTTCAAGACAGACAATCCACCTTTATACCCATGGCGGCTTAGAGCTTCAAAGTCCACACCTTTGCTCTTTCGCTTTGCAGACTCAGCTGAACATAGGCAAAGCTGAATCATTATGCATCAAGCAATTGAATTTGTGCTGGGATACAAGACGATATACTACCTTGAAAACTGAGTGAAGCAGGTCCAACAACAAAGGTAGATTCCTAAGTCATTTAGACAGTGGTAGATGTAGCCTTCAGCAGTATGTGGGAGCATATCAACTGCCTTCGGCTTGAACTTTAAATACATATTGAAATTACTTTTTTTTTTTTTTGAGTACTCATTATCTAACAGGATACAATAAACTAATAGCATT